GGGGGCCGGGTAGAATAGTACCGATCGCCTAAACGATCCCATGGTGCGGTCGTGCCTTACGATTAGCATGGCCAGTCGATTGCAAACTTTAACAGCGGCCATAGACAGTTAGGGTTTTCGCCTTGTAGGAAGCTGCTTCACCAGAGAGCAGCTTTATTTAGCTTAGCAGTCTACATTTATACACCGCGACTCCCACCCCGAACAAACTCCACCACATACTTCTGCTAATCGGTTAACAGATCTTGGGAGAAAAACCATGTAAACCATGCTTACACAAGCACGCACACTCTTGACTTGATTATCCATCAACTTTGGTTCTCTTATACTTTTAATTTGGATGAGAAATGGAAGTTTAACATAAAGTGAAAAAATTCTAGCTATACTCCACTATAAAAAGGTTGTAAATGCTCCAAATCTGGAAAGGAGAAGTGTCGCTGCAACATGTACTCAAGAGGTGACTTTGCTCCATCAACCGAATACCACTTTAGGTTTAAAGGCAGCGATTACGATAAAGAGGGAGCGCATCGGGAAGCATATGCACCACACGAATCAGTTACTTGGCTGCCAGGGAAGCGAGGTGTGGCGCTTTCACGACGAAAGGTGCGCTGGTTGCTGAGCAGGACTTCGAAAGCACTCCGCCCCCAAAAGCGATCCGCCCACTAGTTTAGTTGGTGATTTGGACGAGCTGCGTTGCCAGCAGCGGCACAACTGGAGCAACTCGATTGGAGTGTGGTTTGGCATGGTGTCACCAAACGCGTTGCGCTGAACTCGTTCATACGTCCGCTTTCTGAGCTGTTACCTGTTCATGAGTGAAAACCAACGGCCAAAAAGGGGTCCCATTTTGCGTTTTTGACGGATTTCTCCGCTTTTTCGCCACTGGACGTACCATTGAGCACCACCACGTCTCCTCTAAACCCTTCTTAAATTATCGTAATCGCTGCCTTTAACAATCTGCTGGTTTCGCATTAAATGCCGTACGAATTGAGCCACGACATCAATTATTGAAGGCTACCTCGTTTAGTTTTCCGACAATGTTTTCTTCTTTACTGTAGAGATGAGATCCCAATAAACTATCGAAATCGAGAACAGAGATTAGCGAAGGATCCCATCGTAGTGCCAACTTACTGAATATTACCCTAAAAATGTTAGTGTGAACAGTCACTTCCCAATAGTTAGTCTGACCAACAGATTGAATTAAATTGTACCTGTAATTTGCTTCGCTGAGATTACTGCTAATTATTACTACTCGCTTTTTAGCTTTGAGAAATAATGAACAATAGTGGAGCTGAAGGAAGAGATCAGAAGAAGAACCCGACGAGGTCACCAAGGCAACACCACTGTTAACACCAGCTATTCGCGAGAGAGGATCGAGCATTAGCGTACAAGCTGGAATATGAAAATGTGTCAAACATCAGACTACTTGGCACACAGCAATGAGAGATTGACTACACAGAATTGACTAGATCAACAGCAAACTCTTGATAATTACATTCCAAGATTTCCACAGAAATAGTGGCGTGGCAACACACCAACGCCAAGTTTTCAAAATTACATGCGCAAATGCTAGTTACGCGCTGAATCATAATTTAGTGCGGGACGGCAGTGCGTACAACGTAGTGAAAATGAAGGAATTTAATTGACAGAAAATCACACCTTTATCACTTGCGTTACTTTTGTCAGGCCGTGTATTTGGTTGGAACTTTGTTTATTTATACAGGTTTGCCATGGTTGCGGTCAAACAACAGCTCGTGATTAATGCCAAGCAGGGAGAAGTACCATATGCTGCCGCTCTTGCTATTGCTTTCGGTGGTTATAATCCATGCCTCTCCATTACCTTTAACGAGAAGGAGCAAATTGGTATGAACATGTAAGTTCAACGAATGCATTTTCAGCAGATTCATAGTTGGTACTACTGATACTAACGTGGGAATTCTGAGTGAAAGTTCATCATTTACGAGGCATGGTTTTTTGGATCACTAAGCCAGCATCAGAGTTGGCGATAGTACATGGCGAGTAGTCATTAGGAATTACCTTCATTAAGAGAAAACGATAACGTATCGTAGACGGTTAGTCTGGGGCCTAACGAGATGCTTCCGAATAGAGAGGAACACTCCCTGTTTAGTATGCTCTTCCCAACAATGTGTCAGGAAGGCCAATGACCACCATGTAGGGGCTCGTCTCCGGCCTCCTTGTCAATCACGAGAATATCTCTCCGACATGCCATGTCAGTCGGGGAATACTTCTTCAGAGAACCAGTGCGCGTGGCTACTCGTGAGTTTTGGGAAGAGCATGACCTTACCAGGCGAGGCGTCCCTCTGCTGCCTCGGAAGCATACCTTACAGCCTCTGGAAAGGAGGAGTAATCACTCTGACTATTCGTTCTCCAACGATCACAAATCCTAAGTACTGCTTTAGATAGTTTATCAGCAGTGAACTGGGTATTCAAAATAAGCTGAAATTCCTTTTTATTGTCATCTAGAGCGTTGTGCAAGGCTCTTCTAATAAACGAGGCGAGATAGCTCACTGATTTCGCTACTGGTTTTAGTGATGGCATTGTTATTAAAAATGACGTAACCATCGCGAGAGTTGTTTCGCAAAGCCTCGGCATTCCTGAATTCTCTGGGTCTACGTGTTTCGAAAGTTTGAAGGTGGGTGAACAAACTTCGATACGTAATTAAAATAAATTTTGCTCTTCAGAGGCACGGCCACGAAGGCTATCCAATTTCAGATCGACGAGCTGTTGACCTTATGTGAAAAGGTTGTCGATGGCTTTCTGATAGATGACGAAGTTGTATCTTCGGTGCAGCTTACCAAATCTGGCACTATTTTTGAAGGGCGCGTTACTATTGCGGATGTTGCTTTATGGAGCCTGATTGTGAAGAATCCATCAGTAGGTTTCGCCACTTCCCGATGCATTTGTTCTGCTGGATCAATGGTTTTCATTCAGTTGCAAAAGAAATTTCCCGCGTTGTTCGATGCTATTGTTGAAGACCAAAGATTTCTTGCTGCTCATGCGATGGTTGGGAAATTTGTTGATACCGCCAAAGTCGTGAAGGTGATTAGTAGGACTCTATATTGAGGTTTTTTTTGCGAACTAGCTGGTATGTGGAGAGCCTGGAACACAAAATTTTATTGGTTATTTTTAGCCATCAGCAAAGGAGAAACAACGAGATGAGGGCAAATTCGTTGAACTGCCGGGAGCAGAAAAAGGAAAGGTGGTAGTACGATTTCCACCAGAGGCTAGCGGGTAAGAAGTGCGATTTCCCTTGAGAGTATTTTTCTGTAATGATATTTCTCAGATACCTACACATTGGACATGCTAAAGCCGCTCTGTTGAACCAGTATTACCAGCAAGCTTTCGAAGGCCAGCTGATTATGCGATTCGATGATACCAACCCTGCTAAAGAAAACGCCCACTTCGAAAAGGTTCGTTACAATTGAAGCTTTTTGATGTTGACTGAAGCATCATCTTAGGTGATAAAAGAAGACCTGGCCATGTTGAACGTGGTCCCTGATCGATGGACTCACTCCTCCGATTACTTTGAACTGATGTTGCAAATGTGTGAGAAACTTTTGCGAGAAGGTAAAGCGTACGTGGATGACACTGACACGGAAACAATGCGAAGGAACGCGAGGAACGCATTGAAAGCAAAAATCGAAACACGTGTGAGTTTTCTCTGCAGTTTTGGGTTGATAGAAAATTTCCTGTCATTCTTCTTCTCCATGATTAGCTCCTTGCTTATAACTTGAACCTTTGTCGTCATTGGCTTTAAACTCGGCGAAATGTCCCATGAACCGCATCTTTACCTCATGGTTATTTACATATCGAGCAGTTGCGCCGGGTTTTGTTTCGAGCTTACTTTACCTTACTCATGCAATATCGTAGTTTTTTCTCTACTCGCATAAAAGTTCCATACCGAAACAAGCATGGAGTTGTTGTTTGTTGAAGTGAGCGGAAGATCGCGAATCTTCCAGTTTCATTAAAATCAAAACTTCAAAAAGCAATTGCAAAAAAAAAAACGCGGGAAAACTCCTGTGCATTCTCGAGCGCCTCACTGGATCGTATTCACTCTCTTTTGAGTTTCTATCCATATTCGCTGTGAATGAACCCGTTTCAGCTCCAGAGGCGAACCTCGCGTTGTGGGAAGAAATGAAGAAGGGAACAGAAAGAGGATTGCAATGTTGTGTGCGCATCAAAATTGACATGCAGTCTAATAACGGTGCAATGAGAGATCCAACAATTTATCGGTTTGTGTGTTGAAATGTAGAAATACGTAACTTTCCCAAAATCATTCATGAGCAAAGGAGTTTAGGTGCAAACCAGAAGAACATGTACGTACTGGAATGAAATACAAGTAAGATGCTGGCTTGTTTCACTTTTGTTGTAGTGCAGCTTGTTTGAGTTTACTGTATACTTTGTAGTTCTACCTGAATGTAGCTGTTTGGTTCTATTATTTTTAATTTGAAGGGTATACCCAACCTACGATTTCGCTTGCCCAATTGTCGATAGTGTGGAGGGCGTGACCCATGCACTACGTACAACAGAATACACTGACAGGTATATTGGAGGTTTCTTGGCATTTTTTCTACGGTTTATGGTGAAAGCCTTGGAACTTCAGAGATGATCAATACTACTTCATCTGTGATGCAATTGGCCTTCGCAAACCATACATTTGGTCCTACGCACGTTTGAATATGACGAATACTGTTATGAGTAAGCGCAAACTGACGTGGTTCGTCAATGAGGGGCTCGTCGAAGGCTGGTAAGTTTTCCTCTGTTAAATGGCCAGTAAATACCCAACTCATAACCTATCTAGGGATGATCCGCGCTTCCCCACTGTACGCGGTGTTATGCGACGAGGAATGACGGTTGAAGGTCTGCGTCAGTTTATCATAGCCCAGGGTGGCTCGCGATCGGTCGTCATGATGGAATGGGACAAGATATGGTCGTTTAATAAAAAAGTTATCGATCCTGTAGCACCAAGGTAAATATCCTACTTGGCTGTTCATCCTCAAGTTGTTCCCTGTATAAGCTCATTTTAGGTACACAGCTCTTGAAACAACGTCACTTGTACCAGTTTTTATCTCCACTCCGGTGGTAGTCGAAGAAGTGCAAGTTCCTCTCCATCCGAAAGTATGTAAATAAATCATTTTGATAATTCGATGGTAGGCTATTGATTTTTGCGCGGTGAACTTGGCTAGTCCATCGCAAATATGCAAAGATCGAATCACAAGAACTCGCAGTGCTGTTTGCTTATGGCCGAAATCAAGAACATAATAATAGTCCAGTCCAAACACAGCTTTTTACCTACTTTTTGTTCTCTCCCTGTCAAATTTACAACTACAATGGGCTAAATTTAGAATGTCGACGTCGGGAAGAAGAGTGTCTGGCGCAGCGCAAAATGTTTAGTGGAACAAGTTGATGCCCTCGAAATGAAAGCTGGAGACACCGTTACTTTTGTCAACTGGGGCAACCTCAAGATTGTCTCAGTTGACAAGAAGAAAGACGTCGTTTCTGAGATTCATGCGGTCTTAGACCTTGCTAATCAGGTTCGTTTTTCTTTAGGTTGGTGTTATAGCCCGCCTTCTTTGGTGAGTTCACAGTTTGAAATGCACATCATCCTTCTTCAGGATTTCAAGAAGACAATGAAGGTGACATGGATTGCCGAAGCTGACGCACCCAGTGCGGCATGCATCCCGGTAATGACTACCGAGTACGACCACATTATTAGCAAGGCAATCATCGGTAAAGAAGAGGACTGGAAGAATTTCATCAACTACGACTCAGTGGTTCGTTACGCTTTCTATGGTTGAATGTTTTCGGTTTTGTTCCAATACTGCTTCAGCACTTTACGAAAATGCTTGGAGAACCAGCTTTGCGAAACGTGAAAAAGGGCGACATCATCCAGTTACAAAGAAAAGGGTTCTACATTTGCGACCATGATTACCAAGCGAGAAGCGAGTTCAGGTAAGTAGTACATCTAGACATTTTTTGGAAAACAATCAGATTCTTGATTTATAGTGGAGTTGAGTCACCTCTTCTGCTCATCTACATTCCTGATGGTCACGTGAAGGAGGCGCCAAGTAAAGTTAAACCGGTTAGTCCAGACAGGTCTTCGTATGGAAAATTAAGTAATCAGAAGTTTGCTTTTTCCGCGAGAAGAGCAAAACTTTGTGTTGTTATTGGCATTCACTGAGTATTACATGCCTTGTAGTATTCAGCGCAAGAAGTTGACCTGATTTGTGGGTTTCAAGACTGCATGGATATCCTATTATTAACTTTGTCAGTCGTTGTATGTCGATTATGGCTGTTTAGATGGGTTCTTAGGTGTCTTGGGCTGCGAACTGTGCGGGGAGTATATGAAATCGGTCTTTCCGTCAATTTTCAGAACTTTTTGCTTCCAGAGCAGTGCAGTGCCGCCCTCCGTAGAGAAGTCAGATAGCGCTCTCGAGTTATACAAATCAATTGAAGTGCAGGGAAATACAGTGCGTGAGCTCAAGGCTAAGGATCCGAAGGTAAGCTTTTAAAGTGTACACTCGATGATCAATAACCTACTCATCTGCTTGAACATTCCTCGCTATTCTTTTGTGAATGTAATGCGTAGGATTAGTATCACTGAAGACTGCCGTATGGGCCGTATTTGCTTGGTTATAATTGTTTCATGCGTTGGTCAGTTTGATCACGATTTTTCATTTCAGGCTGAGTCAACGAAGTTAGCCGTTCAAAAGTTGCTTGAACTGAAGAAGTCCTACAAAGAGGCAACTGGTCAGGAATATAAGCCAGGACAAGCCTCCAGAGTCATCGCCTAAGGTTCCCCCATCGAACTCGAACGACGGTCTTGCTCTTTACATGAAAATTGAGTCTCAAGGAGAGCTCGTTCGCGAAATGAAAAGGCAAAGGACCCCAAGTCGGTAGGTTACGCGAGGTATAAGACAAAAGTAATTAGTCTCTACGCGGAGTCGTAGTCATGGTGAAAAAAAAACGCAGGAGTAGAGTATTCTATATGGTTTTTATATAGGTCATCAGTATTCACTAGGTAGTATTGTGAATGAGTTATACCACTTGGCTTCTAGGAGGCGTCCAAAGCCGCAATCGCGACGCTGTTGGAGCTGAAGAAAGAGTACAAAGAAAAGACTGGTCAGGAGTATAAGCCAGGCCAACCTCCTGCAGCTGGATCATCTCTTCCTAACGCTTCCCCCGACGGCAACGTTGACACGTCTTCTTTATATGCTGAAATAGAGGCACAAGGCGAACTTGTTCGAAATGAAAAGGCGAAAGATGCTAAATCGGTTGGTTGTCTTTTTCTTACTAATCCGTATCCTTTTTTCCCATGAATATTTTTCCTCTGCTCTTCTAGGAAGCTACCAAAGCGGCTATAGCAAAACTGTTGGAATTGAAGGGCAAGTATAAGGAGAAAACAGGGCAAGAGTACAAACCTGGGCAAAAGCCTGTTTCTGCACCCTCCGCTCCTGCTAAAACTTCTGTTGATATTGCTGGTCTTTATTCCCAGATTGAGCGCTCAAGGTGAAATTGTACGTGCAGAAAAGGCTAAAGATGCGAAATCGGTGAGGCCGTTCACTATTTTAGCATTTGCTTTCAGCTCGTCATCTTTGAAGATGTTTCTTTCATTATCGTAGCAGTCGATTGAAAACATTGAACCCCTTTCAGGAGGCTTCCAAGGCTGCCATTGCAAAGTTACTCGAGCTGAAAAAACAATACAAAGAGCAAACTGGTCAGGAGTACAAGCCCGGCCAGCAGATTGCTCCTCCTGCATCCAATTCCTCCAATGGAAGCTCTGATGCCCTTGCTCTCTACTCGGAAATAGAAGCTCAGGGAGACCTTGTTCGGAAGGAGAAAGCTAAAGACGCCAAATCAGCAAGTTTTCCTTTCTGATTTCATGTAGCTCACATTTTGCAGAGATTTGGACGAATCCCTGCTCCAATGGTGGCTCTACCTTCACATTTAGGAAGCTGCCAAAGCGGCCATCTCTAAACTGCTAGAACTGAAGAAACAATACGAGCAAATGACTGGTCATCCGCACAAACCAGGCCAGCCACCTGGCCAGCCACCCTGTCTCAAGCCCGTCAAATGCGCAGGAGAACTCCTTTTGATGCTACTGCACTTTATAACGAAATACAGGCTCAGGGTGATCTTGTGCGACAGAAGAAAAGCAAAAAGATGCAAAATCCGTGAGTATTCCTACAAGCTACTATGATACATTTTGATTCTTGTGTTTTCTATTCGCTTTGTCTGTTCCATTGGACTTTAATGGAACGCTTGAAGCCTGGCGATTCAGAAGCTTCTCGAACTGAAGAAACTTTATAAAGAAAAGACTGGACAGGAGTATAAACCGAAGTAAAGTTGAGATGCTAGTCACTTAATCAGTGTTTGAATGGTTTAATTTGCTATTCCTTTGTTGGGCTCAGTTGTTGTAGGAATTGAGTGTTGGTTTTTACTGTTATGTTAAAAGTTGCTGCAAATGTTTTTCGTTGAGCGGTTTCTGTTAGACGCTACAGTTTTATATAGTTAAATAATAAATTTTATTACGAATTTCCTTCTTCACAAATCGCATTTGTTCTATGCACAAGCATTATTTTCAGTATTCTTCCTGAGTGTCATGAGCTATCATGTCACGAGCGGATGTTTTCATTCATTTCTTTTATTTCTTTATTGTAAAGTGTCGCTGTTTCAACGTGATTTATAAACACGTAGTGATTTCACTTTGACCCTAAAGTTCTTGTGAATTTTAAAGGATGTACTAGTCGCTGCTGCTCCGAGATTCTATTGCCATGGTCCCACTGATCTTCATTGTGTTGTGTCACGGTTGGTTTTTTTTCGTTTTTGTTACATATCAGTTTCGCTTCACGCATTGACGCATCAACAATCTAACAACTACCAGGCAACTACCAATTAAACAAAATTTTTTGTGAAGGGGTTTTGCAAGCTCCTTTCAATCACGTGCAAGTTAGAGCATTTTTTGTCTAGGAACATCCATGAATAAGGGCATGCCACAAAGGATGAGCGGTAGTGAAGTGGGCGTTGATCAGTTGTTTCAAATTGCATCACGAATTCGAGATTGTGACGCGTAGTCGAATCAAATATGTAGGTAGCTATCACTGTTTTTGTCCGATTACAACACCCGTCGATTTTCCTGCTTCTATGGTATCAGGCAAACTTCCTTACTAGTTGTCCAACTCCGATGAGTTAAAAATTAGTTTGGCCCGTGTGGAGTCTGCTTTACAGGGCATGTGCGACATCTCTGAATCATTTCATTGCCACCGGGGATAATGGTTAACATGATCGTTTAGGTTTACGAGTCGCTCTTAAATTGAGTTTTCAGTACTTGCAAGAGCCGTAGGAGAGGGATTGTCTGAGGATATTTACATCACGATCCCAGTAAATGAAGGAATAGCCGGGTACCGCTTATTCAATGGAACGCATCAGTTTGCATTCATAGTAGTCTTTCCTTGAAGCTTTAAATTTACAAAATCCTTACCTGACACTGCGGCAATTATTTCTCTTACAGGCTCAAAAGCTGACTCTCGTGGTGTTGTGGTGAAGATGAATCGAGGAGATAGGACAGGATTGCGTGATTGCTGGCGAAGCCGATTTCAAAACTACCTCGGAAAATATCATATTCTATTATCTAGCGACATGCTCGACCGGTTCGCCTTTGATGCCCTTGCCATAAACAGTCGAGCAGTTCTTCATGATGTGTTTAGTTAGGCAGTGCAGGAGTTTTTCACTGACAATTCAGCATTAATTTAGGTTTGTGGTACAAGAGATTTTGGAATCAAAATGTGTTGCCGGTTTGATAGTCACTGATCCGGAGTCAAGGATAGAACCTACAGAACCTCTCTCTCATGACGGCGTTTGTCCGAATCGTCACAGTGGTGAGTGAATCGCTTTCTTTTAGATGTAGTCATCAATCTAGGTCGTGCGCAATTCAGACAAGTACAACGATTCGTTTTACCAAGTTCATGGGGGGGGGGTTTCGTATTGTGTTTTTGAACAGGTTACATTTTGGTTTTTGTGTGTTGTTGATAGTGACGAGTGGGGTCGCATCTGTGATTTGATGGGGTTCATTGGAGGTGGGACGTGGCTGGACCGCGTTGTAGGAAGGGCAAGAGTCTTTTGGCGCGTATCGATTCAGCGAATTTTAACGGAAAATGAGCCGAATCCGCTGCTGCTAGTAGCGTCTGAAGAAAAAAGTGGGCGAGTGTTGAAGTGTGTCGACTTGCTCTCAGAATTACGCAGTAGTAACGCAGCCGCAATGGAGTGATTGAGGTGCAGTGGTATATGTGATCATGGAATTCATTAAAGTCATTTAGATGTATACGGAGACGATGCTCTGGCTCGTAAATGCATGAATGATCGAGGTTTCGTTCTACCAGATGGTCTGCGCAATATTGATTGGAAGATGCAGATCTTATACGTATACAATAAGACTCACGTTGACACTATCAAGAAAGCAAGTGTTTCCTATATCTTCAGCTATCAATTGTTGTGAATCTCTTTGGAAAATACGAAGTTATTACGAGTGTCACGATTTATATAACGTACCAGGGAACGGTTCCTCTTCGGTGTCTTTTCCACTGTGTGCCGCATCTTTTGGTGTGTTCAGCACGGCGGCTGGCTCCACCGAGATTTGTTATCGACGAAGCAAGCCTTGGTCACGTTTGCTTGATCTGAGTATCGAGAATAGAGAGTACGTTTAGCGTTCTGATTTTGGTACGTGCGTGAATGGGCTTTTCTCGCGGTGTTCTTCTTCACTGAAAGAAAGCCAATCGTTTTAGTGATTTGTGCAGTCCTCTGGTTGGTGTCAACATTCTTTCTTATCTTCCTCCTAAAGTCTACAAAGAGTCCGCTCCTGCACACACTGCAAGATATCTTATGCTTTCTGCCAGGGTGAGTTTATAGCCAATCTCGCCAGTTCAGTCCTTACAAACATTTATTGGGAGCCTAGCATTTTTCGTTGAGTCACGAAGTGGTGTGGTGGTGGTAACTGGCGCCTTTTACCACGCGCGCGACGCGAAGATCTGGATCCTACGCCGTTTAGACACTAAGTCTTCGCCCTCCTTAGGGTCGGCTAAGGGGGCACTTCGAACCAGGGTCAAGCGTGCGTTGAGGAATCCTCGACACGTCGCAGGGGGGGGGGTCGTATTGGCCCGCTGGGTGGAAGAGATCGAGCCATTTTGATGCAGTGGGATCATCACCGTCGGAAGACAAATATCAAGGATGAGTCGATGCCAGGCCAGAGGATTTCCAATGAAAATGATATTTCACCCACACAAAATTTTCGTGATTCTGAGGCGTCCGGTAATTCTTAGTTACTTCAGTGTTTTATCACCACACAAGTTAAAGAATCTGAATTTCGCACGCTTTCCAAGAGATATTTCATCTTTCAAGTAAGACCCCGAATCTGAAGGGATGTGAGGTACACGGCGCATCCGAGAAAGGGTCTAGTTGTTGCGCGCGCTTCAACTACGGCTCCTTGGACAAACAACCTCAATTCAGGAACAATCGAGAGAATTCTGAAAGTGTCCGTGCGCATTTACAGGGAGGTGTACACCATTCAACATTGCGTTAACGGACTCTTCAGGGTTAAATTTATAAACATGTAACCTTTAAAGTTGAGAAACGCTAATCAATCACTTTTCTTAGAAAGAGAAAAGCAGTGATTCCAAATCTGCTCTTACTTTAGTACATAATCGCCTTAAAAGGATATACAGCCGTTGAAATAGTGCCAATGTAGCGAAAAAGTACCTTTCGGCGGTACTCGTGCGAAAATCCTCAACGTAGCCGTTTTTTTAATACTGGACGTTTGGAGCAGTTCTAGTAAGCATTTGATAGAGCAAATCTTCTAGTTTATGATGGCGTATTTACTTTCGGATTGGATGAGTTTGAACGGAGTTATGGCTTTAGGAAGTAAAAAAACTCGCACTCATCACAATTTTCCTCGTTAATTTTGCAAAAATCCTCAACGTGGCCATTTTTTGAATACTGGACGTATAGAAGCTGCTTTAGCACCGGTTTGGTAGAGAAAATCTTCTAGTTTTGTCTGCCATATTAACTTTTCGAATTTGACGAAAATGAAGCAAGTTATTGCTTCGGAAAGTGTAAAAACTCGTGCTCATCTCGAATTTTCCTCGTTAATTGATCTAAATTTGTTATTTCTTATAAATTTTTGTAATTTCAATACTGATTAGAAAAAGCTCTTCACAAAACTTCCAAATCTGCTTTCAGATTGAAAATTCGTCATATTTGAAGAAAGTTATAATCATTTGAATATTTGTTCAAATTTCAATAGTAAATAAGCTGCTCCACGGTCAACGCCAAAGTCCAGTCAACACACAGCTGGCGAAGGCGGTTAAAAAGCTTCTTTCAACTGAAGGGCTACGTGCAAATTGAGAACCACAATCTGTGTAGTACTAGAATTTGGTAAGTCTTGTGGAGGAAATAAATAAAGAACAGATGTTGTCATGGTATGCCATTTTTAGTGGCTAGTTTGTCGTTTTTGGTCTGTTTCTCGTTTGCTCGTTTGGTAGGACTCATCAATAATGATCATTCTTTGACTTTTTCACTTTTGTACTTCTTAAACGAATTTTTTTGTGGGCGGTGGGGTAGCAGGGCTTTTTTATGAGCAGTTTTGGGGGAGAATTAAACAAGCTTTTCAACCTTTTCATAGTTCGGCTTTTGAAGAGGGTTGTTTCATGGACTTCGGCCTCCGGCGGAGGGGGGGGAGGGGGGGGGGGGGTCGTATTTCCAAATTTTCCTCAACGCCTCGCTTGACCCTGTCGCGAGAGGGTAAAAAACATTTAACTGTTTACACGTGGGCTGACTCAAGCAACGCATTGCCTGGCATGTCATCGCATTTCACCACTGCTATCTAAAGAAGTAAGAATGCGCGCGAGCATACAAAAGAATATTGGTTAGCGTTTGAATGCTTTACTCTTTCCAGCTCCATGAAACACGTTTACGCTTGTCTTCATGAAGTTCGTAAATTATTTGGAGACACCGGGTCACGTTTGGAACGGGGTTGTGGGCCAAGAAGTACGTAACACACATCAAGTAGGTGGAGCCTCACCCTAGGCGATATGAGCATTCGCGGCGAGAATTGGTGGCGTCGGGGCGGAAAATTCTAAATTCGCTCCCAGAGTAGGTCAGAAACCGAAAGAAAATGAAGGCGTGTCATGTTGCGTGGTCGTAACTGGACGATTTCATTTGCAATGGACAGAGCGATCTCCGAGTGAGCGGTGTTTGCTAAGAAAATTCATGTTTAGTTTGAAGCGGGTCTAAAAGATGAAAAAAAACGATATAAAGAGGCATTAATGGTGTTCAGAATTTCGCTTGAAGTGGCGTGGAGGATCGCCCCCCCCCCCCCCCCCCCCCCCCCCCCCCCCCCCCCGTCGGAGTTTGTGTGCCAAAAGAGGCCGAGTTTGGTCAAGAGGCCCTCTAATCAGTTCGGAAAGTGCGTCAAGGAACGGCAAGGTGTACAGAGGTTGGCGCTTGAAGAAAGGTGAAACTATTGATGGGCGGAATGTGCACTGGAGTGGGCGGGTTTGCCTTGAAACTTACAATCCGGTTACGAGACTGCCCAGAGACGGGAAGAAGTGGCAGAGGTCGGGGAAGGAGGGCGTCCTAGTGTTGTTGGTGAATGGGGCTCGCACCGAAATGGGTCACGCTTCTCCATGAAACTAATAAGTGGCTCTCAAGCCTGTTCAGAGACCCGAAAAAACTGGATAGAAATTGGGTGAGCTTCCACTGGAGTCCCTATTCGAGTGGGGAGACTGGTGAGATTCCTCTTGCTAACAAGAGATCTAAAGGCGAAGGTGGGAATTGAAATGAGGATTTGGTTGCCCATTTCCGATTGCAGTAGCCCTAGAGGAGCGCGTCAGCGTGCGGTCTCTATCGTTGCCGTTGCCTCAGCGACAGAAAAGCACAGTTTGAAAAATAAGGTTTTCTCCCGATCAATTTCTGTTGATTTGTTGTTCTGTTTTCAGCTTGACAGCTTTGGACTGATTCCTGAAATATCACCGGGAGAAATCAGCGTTGTCACCTCTGTTATTGCTCTCTTGGCAGCGGCACAGACCATAGGAACTCATTCAGATCTTTTCGAGAAGGCGGCGAACATTTCCAACCGCCACGTAATTGTCGCATTCTTTGATGGGGTACGTAGCCTTTGTAATCTGCACTACATCGCCTTTATTAAATACAAACAGTTATTAGCTAAACAACGCTGAATAATATTTTTAAGGAGTCATTTGACTATGTTGGAAGCAGCGATGCCGCTTATGATATGATGTAAGACTTCCGAGCTCTCAAAAGTTTACTTGACATAGCGCTGTAATACAGTGGTTAGGAAAGTTATTCTTCAGGAAGGGCGAATTTCCGCGTAAATTATCAGAAAAGTTCAAAGCGCAAATCGATCCAGTGCTTGCTTCCCAACTTGAGGCTATTATTGAAGTACAACAGTTGGGAACTGGTGATGGGATTCGGCTGTATGGTCATGCTGATGGACGTCAGTTCCAACGCGGAGAGGTGAGTTTTTCACCTACATCGTTCCGCATCTTGAGCTTGCTATCATACAGCAGAACCCTTACAATTGTTCCACTGCCGCTTTACTCTTTCTCCTCAAATATGTACTAATTGCTGCATTTTTATGGTTACTTTATTTATTTTCAATATCAATATTTCTAATTTGAGCTAAAAGATGTGCTGGATTCGTTATCGGCAGGAGCGATTTCGGCAGGTGGTTTGCTGATTCCTCCAACAGAGAGCTCTCGAATGCCGCCATCGAGCTGGCATCCATTCTATCGAATCGCTTCTTCTATTCGTGGTGTTGTATTGGCTCCATTCAAAGAAAAATATGAATATCGGTAAGATTTCAATGTACTTTTCGATTTTTATTCCTAAATTTTGAGCTCCCTCGTGGGAGATTTCCAGAAGTCAGTGACGGGTATAATATCTAGGGTACGCTTTTGAGCGTCACCTTAATTTTTGACAGGATTAGAATGCGCGGCGCGTCCCAAAAAAGTGTGGGTGTAACCAACTGCGGGCAATCTGAATTTTCATCATCTTAAATTAAAAATAAATGAATGTAAATAAATAAGTTCATCACTGCTATTGATAAATCATAGATAGTGACATATTTTCAGTCGTATTAACTCAATGCTTGATCGAGTCCAGTGGAATTCAACTCAGCGCTCTGCAGCGATATCTGAAGTGGTGATAGCGGCTAGTGCTTTGCTTCGAGCTGCTGGGGATCATGTGCGGTTAGACACTGGTCAAAAATTGGCCTTACAAGTTGATAAAGAATTTGTGAGTTGCTCAATGTTTTTACGTTGCTTCTTATTGCTTAGCATATATTAAGTATCTATATGGATGTAAATTAGTTTGGTCGTTTATTTATTCTGGTCTAATCGTTGAGTAAGAATGTTATGTTGAGGACGCAAAAAGCTTTTGTCAGGGAAGCTAAACTATCACATCTGCCTTGTTTTATCTGACGTGCGACGAACCACGAGTGTGGAGAAATGCGAATAGATGAGACAGGAGAACCAATTGAAATGGGAGAGCAATCCGAAGACTTCATCAGGGATCCTAAACAGCGAAAAACTGGAATGTGGCCTCGCGTACTTTCTTCATTTAGCTTTTTTTAGGTGACACAATCATAAGTGACTGACCAAACTTGATTACGCCGTTAGAGCAAAATCAGAAACAATCCGTGAAAGGGTTCTCCGCTCGACTTGTAAGATAGGGCCGCCAGAGTGGGAAAATCCTGGCATTGGCTATTCCATGCATGAAATAGCCCTACAAAGGCGTCAGGTCTTTGCAAAAGTTTAGCTGCAGCAGCTCTGCACATGCTCCCTCGCAGCAGGCTAATCTGACACCTTCTCATCGTTGCGCTCACTCTTCCTCTCCCCACTCAAATCTCTCTGGCTATCTAGCATTCTATTGTAGCCGCTGGAATGAATCAAGCCTAACTTGAGAATCTTTTGACAGATTGGTTTTTCTCCTACTTCTTAGCTGCCGACCCATTTCCCACCCTACGCTTCTTATCGCATTTGTGTGCAGACCCAGCAGCAGTTTGATCCTGGATATGCTTTCAAGGGAATTCTTCGTTCCACCTCTTTAAGTTTTGAGCACGCGTCGCATACCTTCAGCAAGAGTAAGTAAATTGGAATAGGAGCTAAGAGTAGATGTGAAGAATTGGAAAAGTTGAGAAGGATAGGAAAAGCAAAAAAAAAAAAAAAGCGTGCCTCGGATCATCCCTAAACACATTCTGAAGAGGAAACACCGTGAATTAGCACCGGTGAATAGCATATAACGCAGGTTGTAAGAGGCTCAAAACTGTGTTGAACGTTCTAGATAAATACACTCTTCGAATGTTTTATCGACTCTCCTGATTGGTTTTCATGTGATTTTTTCAAAAGACTAAATGGAGGTCGACTTAAACCATCTTCAGGTACGAGCCATTTTTGCATGACTTTCCCTATAGTTTCCTTATTGAACTTATATTCTCCTTTAAGGATTTTATGCTGGAAAATCTACTTATGTCTCTGCTGGATACCGCAATCCTGTCCGCTTCTTCGTGGAATGGTTAGCGATTTATGCGACGGGCTCAACATCTTATACTAGCAACGTGAAAGACAAAAACACCTGTGACGACTTGGGAGGAGAGCAAAATGTAAGTAAGCGCTCATGTAGAAAAAAGAATTTTAAGCTGGTACGAAAATCTTTAGTTATTCGTAAGTGCAACTGGGACCTTTTTTGTTGGCGTTTTCCATGACACTGGTTCCCTTTGCAAATTTCTCTTACTGGCTGCCACCTAATTGATGTATAGATTTTTGATGATCAAAATGTTCGAGAATTGCTTCAAAAAAGATCTTGATTTGCTGAGAAATCGGTCACTTCATGTGAAAGCCGACATCGAAAGAGTCCACGTCTGATTTGTCTAGGTCTTGCACTTCATATTTGTCCAGGGGTAGATCATGAGATCTTGTGAAAAATTTACCGCCATCTCTGCCCATGAAAATGATCGGGAGTCCGTTCATATATTGCTCAACGAAGTCACAGTAATCCACGATTATATGGGCTTTCAGGTGTATATTTACACGTGGCAAGCTGACCCTCATACCGGAACATATTACTGTTATCGTTCATCCGTGGATGTGTACCAAGTCAATTCACCCGCCTTCAGAATCCAAGGTAGTTTTCCCTTGATAACTAAAAACTGACCCTCTTTCAAATACCTTTATTTTAAGATTACGACTTTACTAATCGAACGTATTCTACATGGACAGAATCACTGTACAGTATCGATAACCTTCAGCTTTACTTGGTCGAGCAGGAATCATTTGAAATGATTATGCTTTTTCTGGGAATCGCTCTCTCTTTAATCTCATTTCTGGTATTATATTTTTTCCTCTGCATTTGTTTTATTGTATGTTTTGTATTTTTCATCTATGTCAACTATATAATGCATTTCAGATAGTCGGTCGCTGCACTGATGACTCTTTTATTATTGATGAAGGAGAACGGCTTGCAAAAGAAGGGGAACCGTTGTGATGATCCTTTTTTGATAATGATTCTAGAAACTAATTTCTTTTGACAAGTGCTAAGTCCCTCATTGTTTTTAACATACAATACGGGGTTTAAGAGTTAACGAAATCGTTTTCTAGCTGATTTTCTCATTTCTCATTGTTATGTTGTGACGTTGAACTACGACTAATGATTTTTCTTCCAGTAAACTTGTGTAGAATTGTCCTTATTCTGGTTTAATCCGTGATCTCTTATGCAAAAAACGGTCTTGTCATAATGTCAATGGTTGTTCCATTGTTTCTACTAATAAATATTTCCAACGTACTCTAAGGTGTTTACTCATCAATGTACTGGTTCTGATACATTTACTATTTGAACTCAGCTTCTATATCATATTTTTTGTGAGTCCATGCTCCACATTTCAGATGTCGCAGGTGCTGGACGAAGTTGAAGTACATGGTTCACCTCTGAAAACTGCTCTAAAAATGAAAAGAAGTGTAATTTCCAGGTTTGTGGTTTCTTCTCAGAAATACCTAGCTGCTAACGCTCATCACATTGGTAGGGTGGAAATTTTTCTTCGACCAGTTTCAACCAATTTTTGGAACTTGCCAAACATTCGACGTCCATTCAAAAACGTAGCCTTCCATTTCAGGCGAAGACTAAAACAATCTTAGTTGTCAGGACAACACGAGAGAGAGCTTTAGTTGTTATGTTAATGGTTTTGAGGCCATTTATCTGTATTCTAAGGGCACGTTTTAGTGGGTTCATCCTTTCCGTACACGATTTTAAAGGCACGGGGCCTTATCGAGTTGGTGTGTTATTTTGCTCGAAAATCAGGCAAAAAGTGCCATGAGAAACATTATCGGCAAGAAAAAGCAAAAAGCATTGCGAAGAGAGGGAAAACGAGAGACGAGAGTTGTACGCGAGAGGGCGCAGACGCCACGCATGCCTCGATTGATAAGGATGGCATCACGGCAGCGAACAGGGCGAAGACTTTAGCGCCCTTGTGGTGCACTTCC